GGGTGCTATCTTTTATCTATAATTGACTATGATATTACAACATGTTCAACACTCCCATGTTTTTAAAGGCATCCCATAAATATTGACTGCTTTTATTCCTCACAATAATTCTGAGAATTGCAATTTATTTTCAATAGAGTTAGTAAGACTTATGGCCTCTTTGGCTGTTGCAAGTCTGTAATCCCAGCTTCTTGGGAAGCTAAGGAATAGGACTGCAAATTCAAGGCCAACCTACAAAATTTAGTGAGACCTTGTGTTGAAATAAAAAGTAAAAAAGAACTGGGCTGCAGCTCAGTCATGCAGCACTTGCTTAGCATGCTTGAGGTCTTGGATTCAATGCCCTCACCTATGTTTTAGTTACTTTGCTAACTGCCGTGACAAAATACCTGACAAAGGCAAATCAAGGAATGAAGAGTTTCTTCAGGGTCAGTTTGAAGGTAGAGTACATCCAGTCTGGAGTCAGAGTGACAAGGGGGCAGTGGGCTATGACATTGCATCCCTAGACAGGAAGCAGAGATGAATGCTGGTCTCAGCTCTCTTTCCTCTTTCTGTACAGTCTGGGACCCCAGCCTGTGAGATGGTGCTGCCCACATTCAAGGTGAGTCTTAACTCCTTAGTTAAACTTTTCTGGAAATACTCTCATAGACTTACCCAGAGATGTGTGTCCATGGTGATTCTAAATCCAGTGAACAATGAAGATGAACTATCACACAAAGAAAATAGATTTACAGAAGTAACCCTGGGTAACCACTAGAGGCTTTGAAAAGAAGAGGGACATGAGCAGGAAACAGATCCTAAGACTAAGGTTGATTACAGACTAAGGTTGATTAGATAGCACAGGTGGAGACCATAGATAGATAGGAAGACCACTTAGCTTCCGGCTATTATACTATTGTACTCTATGTTATGCAGATCTGAACCTGGAAGGGACATTCTAAACCTTCTTTTAGCAATAAATATATCTAAGGAGAACACCCTTCAGATATTACAGTGTTGCCCCCATTCCCAACCCTATGGTCAAAATCACTGTTGAGGTAAAGCTACGACACTGCGATTGTCAAGGAGTGAGATTCTTCACTCAGTAAATGGCACAAATTCAGAATTGGGCAACCACCTGTGCCTAAATCTTTTAGCCTGGCCCACAGGTTCTACTGCTTTTACCTTCTCAGATTTATTCCCTCTTCAATTTGACTGTCCCTGGCTTCTTCAAAAATTTCCTGAGGTGCAGAGGCAATGTTAGGGTTCTTCCAACTGCCTTTCTACCATATTTTATGCATAATCTTATTGTAGGACTTTATCTGCATATATATATATATATTTGCATTTGGAACAAGCTATTTATACCCTTCTTTACTACTCAATGATGAGGCAGAAATCTCTCTTTAGAAAGTAAATCTTGAACTGGGGGTGTAGCTCAACAGTAAAGTCCATGATTACTGAGTAAAATCCCTGCACAAAAATGAATGAATAAATCTTATATCTCCAGTGTCAACCACATAGTAAGGATCAGTGAGTATTTGAGAAAGGAGAATTATCTTAGTATTGTTTTAACCTGACAGGATACATGCCAGATTCACTGCTTTATCATCAGACATTTGGATAAAAAGATGAGAAAGAAAGTGTCTGCTTTGGAGGAGTTCAGTTAGCAACAAGGAGCTATATAAAGACCAAGAACACCGACTCCATGATCTTGGATCAATTATGTATTATCTGAGTCTCAGTTTCCTTATGTGTCAAATGAGGTGAATTATACATACATATATTACAATCCTTACAAAAATTAGTAAAATAAGCTATGAGTCAACATAATCTTTTTTAAAGTTTTTTAAAAAAAATTTATGTATTATTTTTTGTGTATGAATGTATTGCATGCAATGCCTGAGGAGATGAGAAGAGGGCATCAGATCCCCTGGAAATGGAGTTAAGGACAGTGTTAATCATCGTGTGGGTGCTGGGAATTGAACCTGGGTCCTCTGTGAGAGCAACTCATGCTCTTAACCACTGAGCCATCTCTTCAGCCCCTTAAAGTTTTTTTTGAGACGAACTCTCACTATGTAGCCCTGGCTAGCCTGGAACTCACTTTGTAGACCAGGCTGGCCTCAAACTCACAGAGATCTGCCTGCCTCTGCCCCTTGAGTGCTGGGATTAAATGCCTGTGCCACTATGTCAAGCTAGTCAATGTAATCTTGTAAATTCTTGTAAAGACTAACATGAACTGTATCATATTTGAAGCTCTTAACACAGTGGCATAAACAGAAGCTGTTGTGAAGATGAGCTCTGCAAATACCTTACCACAATGCAGGAAAAAATTTTGGAGCCATTGGGTATCTTGAATTTCATGGGAACATGTATTTTGGGAATGAGCCATGGAAACGTTAAGGTTAAAGACCTAGAAATCTCTTAGAGCTTGAGAAATCAAGAAGCTGTAGACCTTGGGGCTGGAGAAATGGCTCAGCAGTTAAGAGCATGGTTTCTCTTGCAGAGGACCAGGGTTTGGTTCCCAGCACCCATATAATAGCTAACAACCATCCATAACTTCAGTTCCAGGGGATCCAACATCCTCTTCTGATCTCTGTGGGTATTGCATGCATGGGTGCACTTATATGCAGGAGAAATATTCATGCACATAAAAATATAAATAAATAAATTAATTAAAAAACTTTATTGAGAATCTCATACACGCATATAAGGTGTTTTGATCAAATCCACACCCATTCCCTCCCCTCTTACAAACCTTCCATATCTCCCCATCACTTTTTCTGACAACTTCTTGTACTCTCTTTTTTTTAACAAGCTCCCAAATAGTTTCTACATTTTTGGCCTTTGGAACACAGTCTGTTGCTAAGAGGCCCAAGACATTGTGACTTTTAGCAAAGAAATTGGCTTCTTTTCTTTGGGGTCTTTTTTACCCTAACTGCCTAGCCAATTCCTACCTCCTATTCTTATCACACCATCCTCTGAAGAGGTTATCCAAATTAAGACACAGACTGTTCTGGCTTCTTCCATGCTGAACAGGGACACAAAGTGAGGCAATTGGGGTACCCTTTCAGTGGGTCTATCTAAAAGACTCCCAAATTGCATAACTCTTATCTGTAGGGAGAAAAGAAAAGTTCTTGACTAGTGAATAGGTGGTATGAAGGAGAAGTAAAGGCAAGAGTAGTTAGCATTACAAGTTCTAGACAGGGAACTAGAAAGAGTCAGAACTGGGCAAGTTTCAAATGTTCATATCAGAGTCCATTGGGAATAAACAAATTTAAAAAGAAGTTGTAGACCTGGAGTCAAATGCACAACCATGACTGTGTCCAGACTGCTACCATATTAGAATCTCAGATCTCTTGCTAAATATTACAATCTTTTGGAAAACTTCAAAGACAAACCAATAGCCAAGACTCAACCACAAACTAATCAGAATTTCCAGGTATAGGTCCCCAGGATGACTTATAGCTTTGAATCTCTTCAAGTGGATTTAAATTCAGCCAGAGTGGGGACCCACTGAATTTCTACATTGATGAGGACAGGATGACACCTGAGGTGAAGCAGAATATTAAGGCCTGTGGAATATATGAGCCTGCAGTAAGGAGGAAGCTCACCCCATAGGCAGCCAATAGAATGCCATTTCTTTCTCTTTTGGTCTTTTTGAGACAGGGTCTCCCTATAGTCCTAGCTGGCCTTGAATTCGCTAGCTAGACCTGGCTGGCCTAGATCTCACAGAGGCACCTGCCTCTGCCTTCTGAGTGCTGGGACTAAAAGCATGTGCCACTAAGCCTGGCTTGTCATTTCTTTCTAATTCTCATCGATTGTGGCAATGGAATTGATCAGCTTCTTTGAAAATGTTTAGAATTTCATATGAAACTTCTCAAATTCGGAAATGTTGTCAAGAAAAGTGAAAAACACAGGGAATGGGGGCCAGGCCAAGAGAACATGGGTAGCCTGCCCTATGGAGTGTCCAGCAATTAAACCTGAGACTTAAAGAAAGATTCTGGGGGCTGGAGAGACGGCTCAGCAGTTAAGAGCACTGACTGCTCTTACAGAGGACTCGGGTTTGATTCCCAGCACCAACATGGCAGCTATGAACTGTCCTTAACTCCAGTTCCAGGGGAATCCGAAGCCCTGTTCTGACCTCAGTGGCATTGCACGACACGAGTACACTCACATACATGCAGGGTCTACACTCATACACATAAAATAAAAATAATAAATATTTTTTTAGAAAAGAAACATTCTGGGAGGGTAAATAATTGACTTAAAATAACAATAGTGAACTGCATCGGACCAAAGCCCTTTGATTTTTTCCGAACTTAACATTCCATGTGAAAGAAGAGACATTGGTAGGTGTTCTTTAAAAAATGGGTAAGACACTGGGCGTGGTGGCACATGCCTTTAATCCCAGCACTCGGGAGGTAGAGGCAGG